GAATGAAGAGCTATTAATAAGCTCATTATCTAATATCTGATCTCTTGCCAACTTAACTACTTCAAACATTCTAACAGCTTTTTGCAGGGAATACACCTCTATAATCAATGAAATGAAGAGAATACATTCCAAGAATCCTACTGAATCTGGAAGGACTTTCACAAAATGGGAATAAACATAACTTTTTTTTTTCTTTTCAGTTTTTTGAGACAGAGTTTCACTATGTAGCCCTGGCTGTCCTGGAACTCATGCTTGCCGTCCTAGAACATGCTCTGTAGACCAGGCTAACCTCAAACTTATAGACCCACCTGCCTCTGCCTCCCAAGTGCTGGGATTAAAGGCATGTAACAACACTGCCTGAACAAACTTTTTTTGTTGGCAAAAATACATTGAGTAAAATTGTTAATATGTTTATTAAAGAAGATGTGTTTCAGCCTAGTTTTTATCTGAAATTTATGGTCTGAAACTGCAATTCTTTTTTGCACTAACCCAATGTAATGGAATATTAACAGAATTACACGTTATGATCAAGTTCATTTCATCTGAGGGATTCAGGATGGTTCAACATAAAATTCAATAAAAGTAATATAGCACATAAATAAGATATAATATCCTTACTACATATAAGGGAAAAAAACAGTAAAACTCAACATGTGTTCATGAAGAACTGGGGGTGTAACTAAGTTGAACGAACACCAAACTGGACTCAATCTCCAGTCCCACATAACCTGGGTATGGTGATGTTCATCTGTAACATCAGCATTTGGGAGGTAGAGTCAGGATGATCCAAAGTTCAAGAGCAGTTTGGGCTACATAGAATTCCAGACCCTGTTTCTCTAAAGCAAAACAAAAAAACAGAGGGAGGGAAGAAGAAAGGAAAGTGAGGAGGTCACAGGAGAAAACAAACCTGCCCTGAAGAAATCTGGAAAAAAGGACCATACCTCAACATAAATATAGTATATGGCAAGTGTAAAGCCAGTATTAGATGAAAAGAAGAAAATCTCAAGGTATTTCTTTAAAAGGGGTGTCAATTCTTTCCACCTTTATTCAATAAAATGCTTGGATTCTTAGCAGTAGAGTAAGATAAAGAGGTACAGAAAGGAAACAGTATCAAATAATCCCTATTTGAAAATAACCATATATTTAAAAAAATCCCAAAGATTCCACCAGAAAACTCAGACATGACATTTTCAGTAAAGTAGTAGAGTGCAAAATAAACATGCAAAAATTAGCTTTTATAAATACTAAGCATTATATAGTAATTTTTTATATACAAATAGTGAATACACGAGAAATAAATTAGGAAAATAATCCTATAAACCACAGCCTCAAAACAAAATAACTAGAAATACATCCAATTAAGTAAGTGAAATACCTTCATAATGAAAACTTTGTGTAACACCAAAGAAAGAAGGCAGAAAGACCTTCTATATTACTCGTTCAGCAGAATTAGTATTAGGAAATGGCTCAGTTACCAAAAGTAACCCAAAGCTTAAATGCAATCCCCACCAAAATCTGAAAAACATTCTTCAAAGAATTATACAATTCTTATGAATATCCAAAGCATTCTTCAAAAATGCTAATCCTCTGGAGTCAGAAGAAGGCAATTTCTGAGTTGCAGGCCAGCCTGGTCTACAGAGACATCTACAGGAGACCCAGGGATATATTAACACCCTTTCTCAAAAATCAAAAAAAAAAAAAAAAAAAAAAAAAAAAAAAAAAAAAAAGCTTCTAGTTACCAACACCTGACTTCAAATTTCACTAAAGAGCCACAATAAATAAAAAAAGATACAAAGGAAAAACCAGCCATGACTATATTAGTTACCTTATTGTTATGAAGACACTTGACAGAACAATTTAACAATGATTCATTTTGGTTTAAAGTTTCAAAGTCCATTAAAGCAGAGAAAGTATGGTAGGTGGGCAAGAATCAGAAAGCAAAGCCACCACCCTCTGCCTTTCTCCCTTTTATTCCATCTGAGCTTCCAGTCTACAAACTGGTGTCCCATAAATTTAAGAGTCTGTCTTTTCCATAGTTCATCCACTGGAAATTTTCTTACAGAAATACAACTCACCAATCTTCCTGCATGAGTCTCCATAAAGCTCAGTTGACAATGAAAACCACAACCAAGGAAACAGGTTACAGGGGGAAAAAATAAAACCAATCAAAAAACCCTCATGAATATTCAGCCATTTGATTCACAACTAGGAGTAACAAAATATATTGGAAGTATGGCAGCTTCAGTAAATTATGCCCGGAAAACTGGGTGGGTATCCACTTAGAATGAAACTGGGTCTTTTTCTCTTATTTTATAAAAATAAATTCAAAGTGGATCAAAGGACTTAATGCAAGACTTAAAACATTGAAATCAGTAAAAGAAACACTTCAGGATATAGTTACTTTCTGGATGGCAAGTACCTCAGGAAATAGTATAAGAACTGACAAGCAGGATTTTATCCAAGTAAAAACTCATGCCCAGCAAAAGAAACAACAACACAGTAGAGAGATGGACTAAGAATGGTAGACAAACCTTTGCCAGCTATTCATCTCACATATGAGGAATACCTGGATTACATCAAAATGAAACACCCAAAGAACAGTACTATCAATAAGTGGACAAGTGAACTGAGCAGACATTTTTGTCGTTTTTTGAAACAAGGTCTCTCCATGTGGCCATGGCTTTCCTGGAACTTACTATATGTAGACCAGCTAGCTTCCACCTCAGAGATCCATCTGCCTTGGCCTCCCAAGTACTTGGATTAAATGAATGTGCCACCATACCCAGAAAGCAGACAATTCTTAAGAAGTACAAAAGACCCATAAATAGAATAACTCAATAGCCTTAGCTAAGAGGGAAATGCAAAGAAGTTCATTTACTTCTGGCAGTTAAAATTGGAATTATTAAGAAAAGAAAAAGCAACAAACTACAAATGCTGTCAAGGTTGTATGGGAAACAGGAACCCCTCATACACTGTTGCTGGGAAGGTAAATTAGTATAGCCACTTCAGAAACATGAGGTTATTCAACAAACTAAACTAGGATTTGCTATCCCACTTCTCAGTTATATTCCTGAAGGAATCAAGTCAAAACACAAGGGAGACTTGCACACTCGTATTTAACAAGACACCCTCCAAGACAGCCAAGTTATATAATCACCCTAGATTCCATTAAATAATGGAGAACTTTTATAAAACAGGACTTAACTTGAGAAGGGACAAACAAAAGGAGGATAAATATATTTAAAGTTTATTATATGCATGCATGAACATGTCATAATGAAACCCATTATTCTATATATGAAAGGTTAATGAAAATAAAAATACATTTTCTTGATTTTGTCCAAACTATTATTTTAAGGAGAAAGTTTTAATTATTTGTTTACTGTAAGATGAATAGTTTAAATTATTAGTGTATAAGTCAAATACTCTAACAATTGTAACGTTTTCTTCACAAGATAAAGCAAGTTAAGTAACTACTAATACTTGCTATATTAAGTCTACTAATAAAAACATGAAAACAAATCAAGAGTAATTTTCCTAGAAGTTATACAATTTTTTTAAAATTATGAGTTTCCTAAAAGAACTTAGACTATGTACAATTCAACAAGTTTACTTTGTAAAAATCTAACAAAGACTTGGATGAACAGTTTGCATGAGCCAATTCTAGGAAAGTATGTGAGCCTCTAGGACATTATAGGGGTTATATAAGATTCTGCCTAAAAAAGTAAAAATTCTACTTCAACGTTCCTTGGCTTCACCTATTTCTTACTCCCTGGCCATTTTGATTTTTTTCCACACCATACTTTTCTTACACACCAAAGTAGTGTCTTTGGTCATGCTATTAAGATGGTGGCATTAACCACAGGCCAAACAAATAGCGTTGTCAGATCTTGGATTTTTCAGACTTCAAAACTATATGAAATATAAATCTTTCTTCTTGCCTTTGGTGAGGAAGGGGTGGGAGTATATGCACACACCATTGCAAATGCAGATATAGGACAGAGAAGGACTTGAGTCTACTGCTCTCTGTCTTACTCTCGTATCAAAATAGAAGCTTACTGATTTGTTTGGCTAAGCTCGTCAGCCAAATCTTGGAACTCTCCTGTCTTGGCTCTCAATGCTGGGGTTATAGGTATGTATGCTTCTACACTGATGATAAAGATTTGAAATTAAGTTCTTATGCTTGTAGAGCAAACACTTACTCACAGAGCCATCTCTCCAGTTCCAAACATCATTTTTGTGGCCCCCCATCCCAATTCTTGTTTTTATTAACTCATGCACAACTCCTTGTCTTCTGGTTTGTTGAAAAAGTTAAGTCAGACAGACTACACTTGCCACAGTAATGTCTGTCAAAGTAACTGGCCATGAAATCTCCAGCACCACATTCATCAAGACACTCTTCACAAAGGCAACTAAAATTTTGCATTTTCATCCACCTAACAGAATTTCAGCACAGCCAACTTAACCTTTCTCTTCTGCTTAGTCTTCTTGGGAATGCTGCAAGACTTCTTCCTTTCCTCAGCACCACCAGGAAGTCTCAACATAGAATGAAAGGTGGACTTTCATGGAATGTTGTAGTCAGACAAAGTATGGCATTTTTCAGCTGCTTACCAGCAAAGCCTTTGATGAGCAGGAACTTGGATTTTACCTTTTCTATAGCATCTGAAAGTTTAACCTCAAGGGTGATGGTCTTCCCCATAAGGGTCTTTATGAAAATCTCCATGTTGGTGCTGTTTCCACCACAGATGGCCCAATGGAAAACCAAAAGCCTGTTTTGTTTTGTTTTTTACAAAAGTAATTGGCCTTGGTATTTTGAAACAGTCACATAAAATAGAAATAATCTCTCCTAACTCTCATGAAAATTAGATTCTAAAATAGTTTCAACATTTGGCATGGGAAACTAAGGACTGGTTTAGCACATCAATCTTTAGAAAACAAGGATCAATGCAATAGGTTAAAAAAAAGTAAAGAAGCAAGTAATGAGTTTAAACAGTACTTACTGCACCAGATGCTGCACCTAAAAGACAAAATATTTACAGTGGTAAATGAAGTGATCCTTAACAGCTCCAATATTTATTATTATTTCTTCCTTTCTGTTCTTATTAAAGCTTATAAGCTGTCCCATATTATCTGTTGACTTGCTTCCCATTCCACAAACAAAACATACATCTATAGCACAGAGCATTTTTAGAACTTGAGCTTTCAATCTCCAAAGTTAATTGTCGATTGCCAAAATGAGAAACATTTATCTTGCTTTCTGGCTATTCTGTCAATCTCATTTTATTCCTTTCTTTCTTATATATGCTACAAAAGTACAAATAATGCCTCTATTCTCTAACTTTTGCCAAATTCAGTTACTTTAATCCTATGCATGTGGTATTGTATATCACAGTACTCATGAGACACCATACACACTTGCTTAAAATTTAAATTACAATTAAATAATTTTAAAAAATAGTTCTTCAAATGAACTAGTCCCATTTCACATACCAATTACATGTAGTTAGTAGCAACTGTATGATACTAAGTATAGGTTACAGAATACTTCCACCACTGCAGAAAGGTTTGTTAGTCTCCTACACTACCATATATATAAAATGTAAGGGATTTCAGGTGTTTGTTAGGGACAAAGCTCATATAAATGTCTAACTTTAGAAACTAGTCAACTTAAAATGTTAAGTAACAGAGAAAGCAAAGACTGTACAACAAAACAGAACAAAGGTTTACATATATGGAAAGCATTTAATTGACTATGAGTCTCAACAACAGACACAAAGCATTGGAAGGGTAAGTTGACTATGAGGACCCAGGAGGTAACAACGACAAAAATGACTGTGAAGTAGCCTAGAAGTTCATGACAAGAAAATACTTCACATCTAACAAGAGGAGCTACCATCTCTTCCCATGTTCCCTAAGTAGAAATACGGACTCAGGAGAGTTCTTTCATTAAGCAAATATTCTCTGAGCCCTGACTATGTTGACAAGATTGTTAATCACTGAAATTCAGATCAAATGTTTCAATATAAATCCTAATTATTTGCCGGGTGGTGGCGCACGCCTTTAATCCCAGCACTCGGGAGGCAGAGCCAGGCGGATCTCTGTGAGTTCGAGGCCAGCCCGGGCTACCAAGTGAGTCCCAGGAAAGGCGCAAAGCTACACAGAGAAACCCTGTCTCGAAAAAACCAAAAAAAATAAAATAAAAAATAAAAAATAAATAAATCCTAATTATTTAATAATAATTATAAAATATAAAAAATTATGAGAACCAAAGGCTTTTTTATATAATAAATTTGAATTAAGAATGCAATTATAGCCGGGTGGTGGTGGTGCACGCCTTTAATCCCAGCACTTGGGAGGCAGAGTCAGGCAGATCTCTTGAGTTTGAGGCCAGCCTGGGCTACCAAGTGAGTCCCAGGAAAGGCGCAAAGCTACACAGAGAAACCCTGTCTCGAAAAACCAAAAAAAAAAAAAAAAAAAAAGAATGCAATTATAAATGCTATCTGTCTATTATCAGATATTGAGAAAATTTTAACCAATCATAAAGATCAGTTTTAAAAACTAATTTTATGTGCATGAGTGGTTTGTCAAAATATATGTATATATGTATAGCATATGCATGCCTGGTGTCTGAGGAGGCCAGAAGAAGGCATTAGATTCCTTTCAAACTCAAATTTCAAATGGTTGTTAACCATGTGAGAATGAGGAACAGATGCCAGGTCCTCTGAAAAAAATAGCAAGTGGTCTTAACTGCTGAACTGTCTCTTCAACCCCAGATAACCACTTTCATTCCTTGTTAATATGCCTGCAACTTTCCAAATGAAGTCCACTATACACATACCTGCTGCTACATCCATACTATTTACTCCAGGCTGCAAGAAGAGAAATTAAATTACTACCATTCAAATTACTTAAACTACATTTTATAGAAATAAGGTACAATGAATCAGTTCCATGTGTAATCTATAAGCCATAAATTCAACCAACTGTAAAATTTCTGGTGGTTCCAACTCTGAGGCTTGCTATACATTACAAGAGATCAATAAAGTTGGGGTAATTTTAGCATTTTAAGACATTGCATGGTTATCAATTGTATGCAGAACCAAAACTCTTCCCTCTCAATTCTGAAATCTACAAAGCTCTGAAAACCAAGTTTTATTAATCAACAAAACGAACCAATATTAACATATTAGAAATAGGGCCAAAGATTCCACAAGATATTTTTGTAATGTAGTATATACAAACACTAAATAAAATCTTACTATTCCAAATAGGTATGTCCTACCTGTTCATTAAAACCAGTAGGCTCTCAAGAAATAAACATTCTTACACTAATATCATTTTTAAAAAAAATCACCAAATTACTACCTAAGTATGACAGTAAGTCTATTCAAGAATTTTCTAAGTTAATTTGCAATAGCTGAAGTTTCAATAAAATGGATATTTCAAATTAAGTCTTCTCATTTTTAAGTTGAATATCAATTTTTACTAGCATAAAATAAATAAAATGTCACCTTTGAAAATATTACAAGACTACTACAATGGTTTTTCTCTCACAACCTGTTTAAGTGCCTTGTTCATTATAGAATTAATTTCATCATTGAACATGTATATATATTGCAATGTAATGCTCAATTACAATTCATGTTACATTTTAGTGTTGGGGTGGTCTATCAAGTACATGCACATTATTATTTATACATGAAAGCAATCAAAACTCAGAAAATAATTATTTTCACAAGATTACCAACCGGTAAGGCAGGTTGCATGGAAGCCTGAGACATATGAGACATCATCATTCCTGACATTACAGAAGACATCATTCCAGGCATCTAAAATAAAAGTTAAAAAATGGTTACCATGCAAGATCCAAACACTTTATAGGACTGTAAATATAATTTAAGAATATAAACCACTGAAACTATGCTACTTTATTATATAAATAATATGCCTAGTAAGTGCTTGTTGAATGAATGAAGTATTCTATAATGATCCTGTTCCAATACTTACGCCGTAATTCATTTGTGTGGTAAAAATATTTTAATTAAGTAAATTTAGAAGAATAGACTATGTTAGTCTAACTTAAAACTTGAGAATACTCATTTTCTTTTATTTTTAATAAAAATATTGAGCATTGTTTCTTTCTTTGCAACAAGACTATAAGATAAAAATGTATCAGAATTTTCACCTTTTATTCTTAATCTGTACTGAATGAAATTTATAGTAATCCAGTCCTTTTCACAATCTTAGATCTACAGTGCTTAAAATCTAAATACTGACTTAAAATATATATAAATAAAACCCTTTAGTCATAAGTTAAGTACAGAAAAGCACGTAAATACCTGAACATATTAGTTTGTGAGAATTTAATTTAGTCTACTAATGACCAAATTAAAATCTGAGTATGTATTAAGCATGCGTAAAAACCAGATGGTTCATTTTCTAAAGCATCTGATCCAATATTCATCTATATTACATAAAATAAAATATATAGTCCCATATTAGAATTTTTAATATAGTAAGAGTAACAAAGGGATCTAAGAAACTTGTAGGGGGAAAAAAGTTGTAATAACCATGGGTACTGGACAAGGAAACTGGTTATTCAAGCTTCAAATTAAATGAACAAGTTAAAAAATAGGAACAGAAAAATATAAGCACATTGGTCAATATGAAAATACAAAATTAGGCAAGAATATCTATGTGTAGTTTTATTACTTGTTAAAACACAAAGTGAAATAGGCTGGCACACCTATAGACTTGCATGGAGTTAACTGATTTAAAAAAAAAAAGAGCTAAAAATTATTTAAACTATTGGACAGAAATTATGATTACAAGAATGTGATGGATTACTTTGACGATATGGCCAAATAATATTTCATAAAAAGCATAGAATTTGAAAACAAGCATGGACACCTCCAAAACCTACATACATCTTAGCAAAAAAGCAGCAGCAAGCAAGGAAAAACTATGCTTGCTTTCAAACCCATCTACCCTTCAGAGATATGTCTCACACTTGTGCTTAGGAAAACAAGAGTAAACTCAACAGGCAACTAACTCGTCATTAGAAAGAAAGCACTTCAAAAGCACAGTGAGAAAATCTAAATATCCTGTATTTACAACAAATAAAAAACTGGTACTACATTCCAAACTAGAACCCTATGATAATTTCAGAAGTGGTAGTTTGAAAACCAGGGGGAAAAAAGTACTTTCTCCTAAGAAACAAAAAGTGCTTTAAAAAGTAGAATTTAAAACAAACAAACAAATTAAAGGTAGCATAAGTATTAACTTAAAGAGACCATTCACGGCATCAATAGACTGAATAAACTAAGTTGAAACTAAACTGAAATTGAAAGTAAACTAAACTGAGTTGAACTACTGACTATAACTTAAAGACAAAAATCCCATTTAAAAAAAAAAAAGCCACAAAACTCCCGTGATAGAGGTGCGAAATTTTAGTCATACCAAAGAGACAGCAAATATCCAAATCACATAAAGAAAAAACAGACCCGACAGATTTCTCTTTCACTGTCCTTCCTATTTCTCACATTTCAAACACTGAAATTGTTCATGAGTGTGGAATTTAGTTATAGTTAGAAAATGAGATGTGATAGGAAATACAAAGCTACAGTCGTCTTCAGCATTTTCCCTAAGTCTTGGCAGGCAGAATCTAATTACACTTGTTTTACCTGACAAAGTTATCTGTGAGCTTTTAAATTTTTATGTAATTAAGTATTCTAAAATGATGGTATGAATATGAAACTAAAGAACATCAATATGAGAGATACTACACTTCATATAAAACTACTATAGAGGGGCTGGAGAGATGGCTCAGAGGTTAGGAGCACTGACTGCTCCTCCAGAGGTCCTGAGTTCAAGTCCCAGCAACCACATGGTGGCTCACAACCATCTGTAATGAGATCTGGCACCCTCTTCTGTATACATAATAAATAAATAAATCTTTAAAAAAAAAACTACTATAGAAATTTGATATATTTAGAACTCTCACGAGTTTTGAGCATGGTAGAAAGATCTATTTCCCTAAGCCACCATTATCAATTTAGGAAATGTTACAATGATTCCTGTTTCTATTATTCTAAACACAGATCATAGAGGTACATTTTAAATTTGCTGTCTCTGAAGTTAAATTCTAAGGCTTTGATTCAGTTATAGTAGTTTCTCGACAGCACCCCTAATTTGAGACTAATGATATATTTATTATATATTCTTTTTGCTGTTTTAACATCACAATGTTAATGAAAGTGAATCCAGGCTGTAAACTTAAAGAAAAGTGGCGTTTTTTAAAAAATCCTCAATAGTGGCTTAATTTTCTTCCCAAACCAAAACTGAGATAGCCATGTTTGTTTTCTTTGGCATGGTTAAAGTTTCTTGTTTCACATGGAGGGTTTAGCCAGATCTAACTATAAAGTCTTTTAGATTTCCTATTTTGGGTTGCCTCCCCCCCATTGTTAATAAACCCTTAAATTCAATAAAATGAGGTTTACTAAAAAGGAAAAATTCTTAGCTTAGTTACTATGATAGTGCCACAACAATTTCACGAAACATCATTTTCTTCTAAGCATAAGTGGCCATTCACATTAGCTTAATGTGAAATGTATTATAAGATACTATACTTTGGCCGGGCGGTGGTGGCGCACGCCTTTAATCCCAGCACTCGGGAGGCAGAGCCAGGTGGATCTCTGTGAGTTCGAGGCCAGCCTGGGCTACCAAGTGAGTCCCAGGAAAGGCGCAAAGCTACACAGAGAAACCCTGTCTCGAAAAACCAAAAAAAAAAAAAAAAAAAAAAAAAAAGTATACTTTGGCCAATATATAAAGTACTATAATAACTACAAGCTTCAGTTATTAAGAAAAGAGACAGAGTGTTTGGGGAAAAGTGAACACCAAGAAGTAACAGCCAATGCTCTTAACCGCTAAGTCATATCTCCAGCCCTGGAGTAGGGGGGAGATTTTAAAGCCATTTATCAGGATGTATTCAAGCCAGGTATTGTGGATGACCCTTTTAATAAAGCCCTGCTACTACACTACTGGCCAAGGAAGGAAAACCAAAAGTTCCTAATCAGCATGGACAATCTCCCCAACAAGATCATTCCTAAAGATAAAAATACAACTGCAGATGTAAGCTCAATAGTAGAGCACTTGTCTAGTATGCAGGTGGCCTTGTATTCAGTGTCTAGTACTAGGAGAATAGATATTTAGAAGCAGCACATTGATTTATTGAGGGCAATAAATCAATGAATAAAAACAAGTGCCCACCACACAACCTATTAAATTGTTCTTAGCATCCCAGATAGTTTCTAATCTTAGATATGAGTGTTTTATTTACCACTTTATGTACTTAAAAAAAAAAAACAGTAAAAGCAGTATGAATGCTATACAAGTTGAACAAGGGACTGGAGAGATGGCTCAGCAGTTAAGAGCACTGACCACTCTTCTAGAACCTTGGTTCAATTCCCAGCACCTACATGGAGCCTCACAATCATCTGTTAACTCGAAGCACAGGGGATCTGATGACTCCATCTCAAAATAACAAAAACAAATTAAAAAATAAAACAGTAACATAAAGTCAATACATTTTCTGTTAAATATCTATATAAAAGGTAAACAGTATTTTTATAATTTGTTCACATGTAGAAAACATTTAATAAGACAACTCCTGTGCTTGGTTTAGTTTACTAAATTATTATTCTAAAGTAAATCAAATAGTCTCTTCCACCTCTTATCTGTGTTTCACATCCCATATTCAGTAACCTATGGTCAATGTAGGTCTAAAAATATTAGGTTTGGCAACATTCTGTGCAAAACTTCAAGTAACCCTCATTTTATTTAATAATGGCCCCAAACCGTAAGTACAGTAACAATGTAAAGGAGTTATCAGAGCACAAAATTTCCAAGGACAGATAAACTCTAGTATTACATGTCAACACAGTAGGGCATTTAAGAAAAAACAGTAACCATGTGTATATGGTTCAGTTTCAGGAATCCACAGGAAATCTTAGAACATACATACCTAATAAGAGGAGCTACCCTTCATGCTCTGAGGAAGCTAACTCAGCTGATTACATTTTATAATTTTACAGAGAGAAGCAGCCTAGCACAGCTATTAAGGTAGACTAGCAGAATTCCTACCCTAGCTTGACTTTAGGATCTTGGATTGCTATGACATTGACTTCTCTGGACCTCAATTTCTCATCAACAGCAAAAATATCATCTGATAGGACTTATTGTGAGCAATCAAATGCAAAAATTAACGTAAGGCAATTTAAATAGTGCTCAACCAAAGATAGGATAGCTACTGGAGTTGTCTCACAGTATTCATGGTTCTAATACCACCTAATGAATAACAAAATCTCCAAATACTTATCTCATATAAAATGGCAAAGTATTTATATATAATCTATGCATAATCCTGGAAAATTTTAAATATCTAGATTTCTTATAATACTTAATAAATATCAAATGCTACATAGCTTTTATATTGCAAAATGCCTGAGCACATTCAGCACAGACACAAATCTTTCTCTAAATATTTTTGAATGATCAATGGCTGAATCTATGCACAGCACCTGGAAACATGAAAGACCAACCAACAGTATTTTATTATCATTGTGCTTATTAAACTTTTACAATGAAAGAACGCTTTTCCTCAGCCATTCCTTGTCTATTTCTCAGGTGTTTTCTGTTTTTGTTTTTCGTTTGTTTTCCTCATTAAAGGTATCCAGTGAACAGCATAAACTTTTTACTTTCAATAGAAATAAATAATACATGTAATAAGAAGTCAATCCCAGATTTAGAGTCAAATTTAATGCTGGCTCTG